TATGCATTTTGCTTATCTTGTTCCTTGATCTTCTGTTGGATATATATATATATCATGTGTTTTTCTTCTAATAAACCGAGATAAAATACAAAAAAAAAAAAAAATTTACTGATCAAATACATGTTGCGATGACGAAATTGTGCGGACTGGTGGTAACACTAGTCTGCCAGAGCAACACTTTCTAATAAAATAATATGAAATTTCATTTACTCTACAGTTGATTATTCGGTTTCATTCTTACACCACAAGTCTTTTATTGTAGGTTGTCGAATATAATATATGAAGATATATATATATAACTATACTAATAGTTTAAGTTTGTCATATAATCATATACGATGAATATAAAAGAATTAATGCTTGAAAAAAACAATATAAACATTTAGTATTCATTACATCATGAAATACGTGACTAAGTTCACTTGAGAAAATCGTTTTTTGTTGTTGTTGTTATATATTTGAATTATTAAAAGTGAATTAGATGATGATAAATAAATGGTGTATAGCATACAGATATAACTATATAAAGAATCTAAGTCTTTGAATAATTACAATATATTCTGTACACTTTAGAATTGTAATAAGAAAGGTTTTAGTCAAACAAAATGTTAATATAATTTCTAATGAAATGATGTGTTGAGAATGTTTGACTCATATTATTTTTCTTGTATAAAATAAAAAGATGGATTAGCAAATTTCGATGCTATACTACAACACGTGTAGGTTATAATCTGTTTCATCAATCTTGTGAATGATTGTTTGATTGAAAATCAGTTAATATAACATAAAACAAAAAAATCTCTTTTTCTTCTTCTCTTTGATTAATCCGTAAAAAATATTCATTTTTAATAATAAGTTTAGATGATAGCTTTTCACTAACTTATAAACTATAATTTTTAAATTATTCTTTGACTGTGAAGTAGATTATTAAAGAATTGCATATTTTTTTCATATAGACTGTTCATTTATCTTTGATGATAACAGGATGCAACTGAATTTCTTTCCAAGACAAATATCCTTTGAAGAGGATCTTTGAATCAAATGTAGTCTCTTCTAGATATTATATATTATCTATGAATTTGATCTAGAAAAATATTTTTCATTTAAATCAATATCGTATTGATTTTAGATTAAAACTAAATAACAGAGAAATATAAAGATAGGAATTATTATATTGTGAACAGTTTTAACATTTTTAATTGAGAAATATACAATGAAAACAAATGATGACTTGTAATTGATCTAGCTTCACCATGTTTACTAACTATAAGTAATTGAAAAAGTATAGCAACTGACTCAAGATAAGTTTAAAATTGAAAATAAAATGTATTTTGATTTCGATCATTTATTATTTTGAATTTAGGATTAATAATATCGAATGTTTTGAAGATGAAACTTTACATGATTTAAAATAAAATTATGATTATACACTACGTATAAAACAAGATTTAGAAAAACAGGGTATGGGTTTGACTATTATATGTTGCTAACGCTCACCAACACCGTCACCCACATGCAACCTTAGATCAGCTTATTCACATTCAATGATAGCGTGAAAGAATTCTAATCTGATAAATGTTGATAAACTTCTTGTGAATACTAGAATTATTACATTCAATCGAACTTCTCCAACCATATCTGAATTTGCGCCAATATCACAAAGTAAAATATTCTTGTAAAATACTACTATACTTTATTGCATTGATGTGACTGTGTCACCACCGCCTAGAGACATACTTGCGTTGAATTCTATTCGTTCGCTTTCGTTTCAGGTGAAGCAATTTTTTTACGACACGTTTAATCTGAGATATGGTACTGCAGTTGATAACGTTGACGAAAGGTTTACTACTTCATATCTTTTTTTGATTTGAATACGTACCTAGGAGAATATTTCAACACATTGGTAGATAGTTCTTGCGTTAAAGAAACGACGAACGTTGAAAGTGATGCATTCGAAATTCTTTCTTGCAATATTTTTAATCGTTTGTTTGGTGATTCCATATCAAATTAGTGCTCAACCACTCTCATCACTATCACATATCAAAACTTTGATTGATACATTGAAAACCGTCGGAAATATGATGGAGCTTCTTGGAAATTATCCACCAATATTTGTCGAACAATTTCTCTCTTATTTTGGTAAAAATACTGCATTACCACGTCGTTCCTATGATTTTATTGTTGACTTAACACGACCCACAGATATTTTTGATGTATTAAAAGCTTATCCAATCCGTTTTCCACTTGGCAAAGATGTTTATGATAACAAATTGGGTGAAAACAAAGATCGTTTCGTTGTGAATGTTGTTGGACGATACAATGTGGGCAAATCATATATTTTACGTTTGTTAGCTAATATTGATCTTGGTGATTCATTTACAGAACGTACAATAGGAGTTAGTGTTTCATTACCATCACCAAAAGACACTAATGGAATACCAATGGCATTAGTTGATACAGCTGGAACACGAACACCAGTACTCTTTGATAATGAAAATTTTGATAATATATCATATCAACGTCAAGTTAGTGACTCATTTATTCAAGAAGTAGCACTTAATTCTGCTGATATTTTTGTTTTGGTTGTTAATCAATTAACATTGGACGATCAATTATATTTAAAAACATTAACAAGAAGGTTAAAGGTATTTACAAATAAAAATATTTTTTATATACAAAACTTCTCAGAGATGTGATAGTTTTTTTTTTAAATAGAAGTCGGAGATATGAGATGTGCTAGTACAAATCAGTCAGAGCTGCATCATTACGATGATATTCTTCTTGACTTCAAAAAGAGAGATAAAAAATACCTGTTAGATATTTTTGAATCGCTATCAATGACAGTTGGTCGTGTCATGGATGTTGATAAGAAGAATATAATCTGAATATTCAACGAGTGCATTGTGATAATATTGATACACCTTGTATCTTGATCTCATGCAGACGATGCGCAGACATCAATATTTATCTTCCTGATAATTGACTAGTGATCTTCATATGTTGTTGAGGTGAGATTAAGACTTTGGATTAGATCAGAAGTTGATTTCTACATGATACCTTTAAAGAATGAAGATCTGAGAGCTGTATCGACGTATTGACAACAATCAATACAGATTTTTCTCGATTTTGCTCTAATCATTGTTTACTGATTATTTACTCGAAGCACTATCTAGGTCAGATAGAATATCGCATAAATGGATCTCTGTTACTGTAAATAGATCAAAAACGGCTCCGAAATTTTAGTTTTTCGATAATCTCTATTTCGATATGCGATAATACAGTGCAATTCGGGATAAATTTCGACCGTAAAATCATCGTTCCATTTTGTCACCACTTACGCTTCCATATGACACTGTAAACGTGACTATTTTGATTAATCCAGATGAGCATAACGATGAATACAGTAAACTAAATCATCCCAGCGGAAGACCTAGCCCTGCTAGTAAGATATTCTGACTGGTCGAAGTGAATGTGTGTTGTATCGATATCAGAACATCTTTGCATTTAATTTTAAAACAATTATTCGAGCATAAAGAAAAATTCGATTGAACTTTATAGGAGAAAGGGTTTGATGATGAGAAGATCAAACAACGATTATTAATTGTGCACAATTATTTTAATCTTAATACAGCAGAACAAATACAAAGTGTCGAACAAACTGAATTGAAAAAAATGTTTTCCGCAAAACAAAATGAAAAAGATTATTGGGTTAGTAAGATTTATAAACATTTCGTATTTGCTAATAATAATAGTCCATTTGGAAAAGCATTTAACAAGAAATCAATTGAAAATATTCGAACAATGATTAGTGGTGCACATGGTGCAACAAATCCCGATGTTTTACAAAAAATTATTCAAGAAACTCAAAATTTACTTAGAACAGTTCTTATCGAAGAAGAATTAAACAATACTACAACGAATTCAGATAAAACACAAAAAAATAAGGGTTGGTTTAGTTACGTTGTAGCAGCAGCTTTTTGGCGAAGTGATAGTAAAGAGTTCCACGTAGAAAATAAACGACAAGTTCAAATTGAACTTGAATTGAAAAATGTCACGTTTGAACCTAAAATAACACTTTGGTTCATTTGTCCGAAAGCAAATCTTTCAAAGAATATTGTTTTATCGAAAAATTTACGCTTTCATGAAGATGGTTCTGTGTATGTGGATTTTTCTTCTCAGTTTGTTCCGCAATTCGATATTATTCGTCGAAATAAAGAAGGAGATGTTGTAATCCGTCTTGAATGTCCATTATGTTCAAATGTGACCGTTCGTCGGAAAGGAATGACATCCATTCTTATTGTAGGAGAAAAAAGTCGAGGAGAAATAGAAAATGAATATTTTAATACACGTCGTATTGGCAAATTTGAAGTAGAGGTTTCGTTGGATAAACTTAATAATTCACATAATGTAAACAATAACCTTATCTTGGACTTAAAATCAATGAAAAAGAGTAACTTAGATGGTGTTATACAAATCACGATTCCAATCGATACATCAGTTGATGACCAACAAGTTTTTAAAGATGAACTTTAACGATTTTAATCAATAAAAAAACTATTTGTTAAAATTGAGAAATTTCTTTGAGAACAAATCACATCTTACCAAAATCTCTGTAAACAGGCAATGTCCGTTCATCTTCAACTCTTGAGAGATTCTTTGAAAATAACAAGTGGATGAGGATGAGTGAGTTATCTGGGACTGGGTGTGGATATGGATGGTTGCGGATGTGGATATAGGTACTGGTGTAGGTGTGGGTGATGGATTTGAGATACCCACACCCACCCTTTCTCCTCATCCACACCCACATCCAATAGACTCAAATATCGGTAAATAAATGAGATCGTTGAGAATATTTGACGACTGACATTATTTCAAAAATGTGTGTCTTTATAGAGATAACCCAATATATTCCAGCATATCATTTTGCTATTATGCGGAGAACAAAAATCCTGAAAATAATGGAGGGTGCGAGTGTGAGTGTGAGTGCGGGTGGATGTGGGTGTAGGTTTTTGATTAAAACACCCACACTATTTGTAAAAATTGTTAGATTAATATTTCTTGTCAGTGATTTATTTGACAATTTACTCAATATAACAATATTTATTAAAAATTCAATATATAATTCTCCAACATATTTATTATTTTTATCGTCATCATTTAAATTAATTTATTTAATAGATAGTTTACTAACACGTATATTATCTATTGGATTTAATATTCATAGATATTATATAAATAAATGAAAGGAGAAATCGTAAGGCTATTATTTAGTAAACTCGGTTTTCCTTCTTCCAATCGTATTTTCATGAACTGAATCTTTAAGATTGAAGAAACTATCATTAAGTTTGTATATGATCTCATCGAATTTCTTATTTTCTACATGCAAGTGATGTTAAAATCAATTCTTTATTTCTTCAATTATTTCTTCACAATCATAAAATGATTTTTTTATTAATAAAACTAAATTAATTCAATTATTCCAAAAAAAAAGAATTTGTACATTATTTATTTTAATACAATTGAGTTCATAACAAATTACAAAAAAAAACATTCTTTCAATGAGATTCATTCTAATTTTGTTTTGTTTTGAAAACATTTAAGATCTTAACCATCTCGATATAGATCGTTTTGGAAATAATGCAATGAACATTAAACTAATAACAAAAAAAACTCCATAAAATCCATACAAATATAATGATATATATCTTCTCGGTGTCGGTAAAATAGCTAAATGAGCCATTTTAGTTGCTAAATAAAAAACAAATATTCAAAATTTTAATTCAATATTTGATTATATTTACCACTATCAAGTAATAAAACACCATATCCAATTCTATCAACACCCATTCGATATGAACATGTTGGTATTGTTATTTCATAAACAAAACGATTTTGTTTTAAATCTATTGAAAGAATTGATTGTGGAATATATTCTTTTGCTAAAAGATGTGTCGTTATATTTATTCGATCATATGATACAACAGTAAACTAAATATATATATACACACATATTATTTGATATTATTTATACATTTATTCAATTACATACATGATGACTATCACCTTTAAGAATAAGATTTGGTTCTAATTCATTTAGAAAAGGTTTAATAAAACGAGTAGAACGTGTTAATAATGGCCAATGATTAAGAACTATACGAAATATAGATGTTAATGGACGATTTTGTGTTTGTTCCATTATAGCAAAACGTTTTCCATCAACATATGATTCAAACATATCGATATCTAACTAAAAATAAACAAAACAATGTTTTTTTTGTAGAAAATTTTCAATTAAATTAATACTTTAAGATATTCAATATCATTTTGATGATACAATGCAATCATTCGACCAAAATAATTTCGAAAACGTTGTCTTAATATTGGTTGTTTATCACCATAATACTCTCCTCCAACATCATTATCACCTGGAATAACAATACATTGTTGCTCACGATTTTCATATTGAAATATTGTATCAAAACGTTCGAAATATCGTTTAAATTCATCATCCGATGCTGATAAACCTTCATCAAATATATCACCCAAAAAAAGTATCCAATTCGGTTTTACATATTCATTCGCTTGTGAAAATGTTTTAGCAAGATATCTAAATTTAAAAGAAAAATACTTTTATCGGAGTTCTTATATGTTACTAATACAAGAAATTGTCGTTTGAAGTGATCACTAACAAAATTATGGAACCAACGATTTTTAACAGTAAACTCGTTAGAAATTTTATAAGAATGATTTTTCAGTCAGAGATGGTTTGTTTTTTGAAAATAATGATTATTTACAATGGTTTGTCAATATCTATGAAAATCAAATCATACCTATCAGCATCATTTCTTGTAATTAATCCAAAGAAACCTTCATCTTTTTCACCAATTAATTGTGGATCAGCAACAAGTAGAAGTCGTTCGACAGTGGGTCTATAGAAATAATGCATAGCGAAAATTCTCTTTTTCATTTATATATAATAAAAATATATTACACTTATTACGTCGTTTTCGAAAGCTATCAGATAGATTTAAAGGATAAAAGCAATCAAGTAGCAGCCCACACACAAATTATTAAGAATATTAAACAAATACCGCATAATTAAGAGAGAAAAAAACGATTTTCCTGGTATAAGCTATGTATGAATTGAATGTTTTTACCGAAGTAGAATTGATATTTGGTTTATTTTTATTCAATCTGGAATATGAGAAAATACTTAGGAAAATATATCATGTAGGAAATTAAGTATGACTAATTTAGACTCACAAAGTGTGTAATATATACAGAATGTTTCTTGTCGAGATCAGCAGAAGACATATAGTATTTCGAACTGTTCGAGAAGTTTAAAACTCGTAACGAGTTAATGATGTCTACACTACTACTCTTACTTTTTTAATAAAGAGTCAAGATTTGGCCAATTAAGTCTAGTCCATTCATAAAATAAAACTTCATTAATAAAAACGATTATAACAGCAGTTATAATCAAAAATCCATATCGTGTTAACATCCATCGTTTAAATCTTTAGACAGAAAAAGAATGATATGTTAATTTCGTTTGTAGAATTTACTTTGTAAAAAATCTTGATCGTATAAACATATTTGACGAGATATGAACTTGTTTTATTTCAGGTTCTTTTGATTCCTCTTTTTTTGATGTTTGATTTCGATGAAATAACATATCATGATTTCATATGTTTATTATCTAAAAATCGATTAGATCATCAAAACACAGAAAAATAAATTTTTGTTTTTAAAAAAAAAACCCCAATAAACAATACAATTAGTCACTGGTATTTTTTTCATAAATTTTTTTTAAACGTTCGATGGCATCATAGAAATCTTTTGAGAATGTTTTTGCTTTATCATCGATTCGTAATGATATGCTATACATTTCTTTATAATCTTCATAGATTGATTTATTTTTAATTGTTGTTTTGTATATTTTAACAAGCTCTTTAAGAAATGCTTGTATACGTCCATTTAATATTGATAGAAGACGTTGAGATTCTTGTGCAAATACTTCAGTATAATCATCTGGATCAGAACTTATTCGATGTTTTTCTATAATACCTATACATTCTTGACATTGAAATGATGCACGTAAACCTTGTTGAGAATATTTTAACCGTGATGAATTATCTGTTGCATCTAAATTAAAATAAAATAATTTTTATTTTGAAATAAAAACAAATAAATGAATAAATCAAGTACTTTGCAATTCAAAATCTGTTAAGGCAACTTCTTCAATTAAAAGACGTAAATATTCAAGTGGATTATCATGTGGAGAAAATAATTCTAAAGCTTTTTGATAATGTAATGATGCTAATGCACGTAAACGTTTTCGACGAGTTGCATTGTTCTAAAATAAAAAGAAAAATAAAGACAATAATTGTCAAGATGATAGACGTAGAATTATGTCTTGTATATCAATAAAGGATACAAAATTTCAGTTATTTCTGACTGTCATTCTAGTAAATAAGAAAAAAAGAATTTCGCATTTTCTAAGCAACTATTTGGTCTAGATAGAATAATTAGTTGCAAAAATCTATGATCTATAGTAATGGTTAAATCAAAATTCTAAAGTCAATATATGTTCAAGAAATCATTTGCTACTTTTGTATTTGATTTTTTCATCCAATACGTTTTATTTAAAATAAACTGTTCTTCGTAAATTGTAGAACTTGTTATAGTGCATCTTGTGGTATTTTTTATTTTTTTAAATAACATAAAATATATATGGTGTAATAAGAAATTAATCATACAATTTTAGTATTTTGCCTTTCATTGATAATTAGAAAATAATAGATTTTGTAATAATGCTTTGTCTACTTACTTGAGAACGAAAAGTATTATGAAGTAGTGATGCTAATCGATGATGAATTGTAGCAGCTCGATATTTTGCATTTGAATAACGATCTGATGATGGAGTATTAAGTTCAACATCAAGATATTTTAATGCACGTGTCATACAATCAATAACTTCTTTTTCAATCTGAAAAGGAAAAATGAAACAATGAAAATTTAAATAAAATTTCTTCCTTTTTTTTGTTTTATCTTACATCGTCTTGAGACATTGTACTTAGTGGTGCATAATCTTGAAGTGATGTTGCCATTGTAAAATAACTATTTGATAATTCCCATGATAAAGTACGATAAACTTCAATTAAATCTAATCGATTTTCAACTAATTTTAATCCTCGAAGATAATAATCAAATGCTTTTTGATAACTTTGTCGTTCTTGTTGTGAAAATTCTTGTCGAACACCATTAACAACAGGTGCATAAAATTGTGCATAATATCTCATCAGACGACCAAGATTTGAATGTAACAATGCTATATTTGATATATCATTTATTCTTTCAAATGCTTGAATACCAGCATCAAAACTTTCGAAACTTTTTCGAAATTGATCTTTAGTTTCCTAAATAAAATTTATTTATCCTTATGAATATTCTTCGAAGAAAAAATGTACCTTTGCTGCTTCACGATCTAAATGTTTAACAGCTTGCGCACATTTATTCATCCAATAAACACCCATTTCATTTCGAACATTTCCAAAACGTTTTGTTAATAATTGAAGACGTTTTTTCTCATGATCACCAAGATTACGAACTATATTTATTGCATATTCGTATGCATGTACACTAGCAAATAGATTACGATCGATAACAGGTGTTAATTCTGATACCCAAGCAAATTCTTAAAAAAAACAATTCTATATAAATAATAAAAAACTTCTAAGTTTATTACCAGATAAATTCGCATCGATTCCAACTTCAACAATAATTTTGTTAATTTCAAGATCAACTTCATTCATTGTTTGATATTGTTCACGATATTTTTCTATTTCTTCTGCTGATGTTATATGTGCAATCATTAATCGACAATCACCCGCAATACTCATTATATATGATAATAATTTTTTACATTCAGTAGTACTATTATTATGATCAACTGATTGAAGTTTAGCTTCGGCACCTTTAAAAAAGCAAATATAAATATATTTTTTAATTCATCTGTAAAATCAATGATACAATAAGATAAATCTTACTATAACAATTAAGTGCCAATCGAAGATAACGTAAACAAGATCCATAATTTTTTTCTTTTTCATTTCGATCAACTAAACAAAAATATGCTGCAGCTGCTTTATGTAAAATAATTGCTTTTAAACGTTCATCATTTGTTAAATGATTTTTATTATCAATTAATATTTTTGATGACTGTCGTGTAGCTTTATATGGTAATGGTACTATAACTTTTGATTTTTGATCTTTATTTGTTGATGAATTTTCCTGTTCATTTGCTGGATCAGAATTAGTAGTAGAAGTATTAGCAGCTTGAGTTCGACGATGTATTGTGTTACTTCGCAGTGCCTATTGAAGATAAAAATAAGTATTGAAGAGTTCATAGAGTAGAACAATTGTGAATTTAAAAATATGAATCGTATTTATTATATTTTCAGGAATGTTTTTTTGATATTCTATGAAATTTCATTTCTAAAGGGATCATTATCTTTTTCAGTCATTTTGATATACTAATATTCTTACTTCAACTAAATATTTAAGTGCTTCTGTTGCTCGTCTATCTAAATTTCCATGAATCGGTCTTAGACGTTCTACATCTGGAGTTTTTCGATAACGATTCTGTTGTTGTTGTTGACCAAGTGTTTTAATATCAACACAAGTATATAAATGTGAATCATTATCTTGTTCATATGGTAACTAAAATATAAATAATAAAATATCAAGACTTTCAATTAATCCTATCATACATCATCTTCTAACGGATCAGGATCTTCGATATCACTTTCATCTGATGTCCAACTTTGTTCACTAACATTATCGTCAATATAAAGATCAGACATCATGTATGCAGCAGCACAATGATATTCAGGAAATTTTTCTGGATTAAGCATATCTAAACAATGTTTGAGTAATGTACGTATAGTACCAGATTCTTTAGAACGTGTTTCATGATCAGATTTTGAAACCATATTAAGAGCCATTTTATAAAACAAAGTAGCAACTGGTAATGTATATGGATTATCATCCCGATTTGTTTCACATAAACTTGTTAAATCATATAATTTAACAATATCATCATCGGGACCTTTAAATAACCAATATGTATGTCCTTCTTTTGTTGCATTTGCTTTAAGAAATGAAAGAAGATTTGTAGCTAAGTCACGTATAACATTTGGATGAAATTCACAACCTTCACGATATGGTATATCTTCGGTTTTAACTATTTCATATGATTGAACAATACCATCAACATGATAGCACATAGCTAATTCAGGAACATTACACATTAAATTATCAAGCCAACAGTCAATACCCGTTAAGACATTTATAGGCTTATTCATATCTCTATTTAGAATAAAAAAAGAAATGAAATAATTGTAATAAATTGAAAATATTTCTTCTATAATGATGATAATATTAAACAACAGTTTAATGTGAATAGGCCATGAAGGATATTTTTATCTTATTATCTGAACTAGAAATTTTTGATTTTCACTATAATAAATCTATACTTCTTTTAACTTAACATTATTAGTTCTGCAAATTGTAATAGTTATTTCCACTGTCAGATATAATGACATATTTCAATTAATATAACTTAGTAAAAGTTAGATTATATGATAATCTCTATTAAGTTTTTTTAAAAAATACCTTAAACGTAAACTAACAGCTGGATGTTGTTCATCACCGAAAATTGGTAAATCTGAGCCAATTAACATTTTCATATTTTCAAATGTCCAATTAACTGTTCGTTGAAATGGTGATGATGTATAATTAGTATGATTAGTATTATCTTCAACATCATTATTTGCATTAACAATATCTTTTATTTGTTGTAGAAGTGCTGCAGCAGTTATTTCATTTCTTGATGATGTTGGTTGAGATTCATTATTATCAGAATTTGAACGTGTTGATTCAGGCAATTCAACACTAGAATATTTCATAAATATGATATAGAAAAATTGAAATATTCTAATAAAAATACCTTTGACATAAAAATTTAACTAATCGATCTTTTCGTATAAGTTCATCACGTGTTTTATTTTTTTTATAAAAATGTTTGACTGAAATATTACGTAAAACAGTATCGAGAAAAAAATCTCGAAACCATGTCCAATCATTCTAAAAAAATAAAAAGTTAATTCAATAAGAAAAAAAAATCTATATTGTTTATTACTTTTTCAAGACGTAATAAATGTGAATGTACATCAAATTCATCTAGAAGTATGGTTCGACCCAAACGATGTACAATCATAGATATTTGACTATGCTTATTAAATGGTACTTTGAGTAATTTTTTTATATGCTATTAAAAAAGAAAAATGAAAAAATATTAAAAGTTGCTTTTACAGTAAGTATCTATACCTCAGCATCTGAAATAACATCAACTTCACCCAAACTATCGATATGTGCATTTGCCGATCGAAAACTAAAATAAAAAGCAATATAAGATATGAGTTCTAAACACACTAGAGAATTCTTCAAAATAAATTGTTGTACAATTATGTACAATGAGAAATAAATAAATCAAACATTCTATTCTATCTTAACAGTAGATAATATATGTTTGTAGAAGAAGTTTTTTACAAAACAAAAATACAAATTTTCTTTTTACCTTCCGAATATATCATCATGATTAGCTCTTTGTTGAAGCCAATATGAAAGTAATATTCTAATATCATTATTCCAGACTGGTATTTCATTCAAATCTATAAAACGGAAATATTTTAATACAACGAAATAAAATTAAGTAATATTAATACCTGTATCTTTATCCAGAAAAGTACATTTGAAAAAAGGAAATGATGATGATGAATTAACTGAAACAAGACTTGATGATGATGATGGCGGAGTAGAAGAGTCAGCCATAGCGAGAGTTAAATGTATCAAAAAAAAGTTTGTATTGAGAAAAAGGACAATACCAACTGTATGCGTCAAAAAATAAGCCAATCATGTCAATGACTAGATGTCAGATGATATATTGTATCTTAAAAAACAATGATTGGTTTGATTATTTTTCATTGACTTTTTCAATCAATTTATATTATAAGGTTGAAATTTTGAATTTTCTGAACCGTAAAATGTACCATCTAAAAAACCACGAGTCAATTGATATATATTGAATTCTTATTATTTTGTTTTTAGATAAAATGGATGATTATCGTCAACGAAAAGAATTATTTATTAGTAATTTAAATGGTACAACTCTATATGAAACAGCTTCAGTCTTGATAAATATGTGTACAACATATTTTTTATGTCAAATTTTGAAGCATTCATTCGTCAATAATTTATTTTTTAATTTTCTTTTCGAAAATTGTATTATTATCATTCCATTAATATCTATTTGTACTTTATCATCATCTATAAGTCATATATTTCATTTTGTGATATGGTCAATAGCTTTGTTCATTTATTTTCTGAAGAAACCTTCATCAATAAATAACTCCCAAACAATTAATAAATCTTATTCACGTTTAATTGAACTAACTCGTGGTCAAATATTAATTGTAACATGCATATGTATTCTTGCAGTTGATTTTTCTATTTTTCCTCGACGTTATGCTAAAACAGAAAATTATGGTTATTCTATTATGGATTTAGGTGTTGGTGCATTTACTATAACACATGGAATGGTTAGTTCTGAAGCACGAAATAAACAAACAAATTTTAAAGAATTACTTGTTGAGAATTTTGTTTTATTTATCTTAGGATTAATTCGTTTAATATCAGTGAAATATTTTTCATATATTGAACATATTAGTGAATATGGTATTCATTGGAATTTTTTTTTAACATTATGTTTTATGAAATTAATAGGAAATTGTTTATTATTAATAACAAAAAATTTATTTGCATTGATTTGTTTAACTTTACTATTTCATGAAATAATTTTACTAAGATATTTACAATTTGATAATTATTTAATTGAAGTAAATAATTTAAGAATTGGTTTTATTGATGCAAATCGTGAAGGAATATTTTCATTAGGTGGATATGTTTGTTTATATTTAATTGGAATCTTTTTTGGAAGATTAATAATTAATTATGAACGTAATCAACAATTTTTACAAATGACTATAAAATTTTCCATTGCAATGATTATTTTATGTGGAATTAGTTATAATACATCAAGAAAATTATGTAATTTTGGTTATATATCAAGTACAACAGGTTTAGCTTGTTTGATTATAGCGAGTTACAGTGTCATTCTATGGTTATTAATAAGAAAAGGTTACTCAACTGAATCAACTTTACTGAAATATGTTAATCAAAAAGGTTTCGATATGTTTTTATTAGCAAATGTATTAACAGGTATAATCAATTTGAATTTAAATACAATTGATACTTCAAATTCTGTAGCATTATGTATTATCATAATTTATATGTTTATTTTATCTACATATGTATATTGTTTTCCATCATTAATTAAATTAATGATAAAAACTTTCAAATTATCTAAAACTTGAATATAATTATTTATTAAACGAAAAGTTCAAAGAACTCGAAAAGATATTTCATTTTTTTTGTAAAAATCTACGATTTTATTGGAAAATAAATGAGATTACTATTTAAAAACTTAAGTTGTTCGATAAACGATGATAGTGAATTATTTCATATCGTTAGTTTTTGTTTACTAAAACTTTACATATCGGTTTGATATTTATTTTTATATTCATTATCACTACTTTTCATTCCGAAAGACATAAAATCATTGATAACAATACAACATCTTTTCCATGGATTTAAAATTATACAGATGGTCACATTTTTTACTTGACACTGCAATTACAGTATTATAATTTGACATAGATAGTAACAAAAACTATTTCTTAAAAGATACAGAATTAATATTGTAACCTTATAATATCTAAGACAAATCTTTAATAATGTTTCAATAAGAATTCACTTCTAAAATCAGCCCTTGACATGATAGATTATGAACTTCGTGATATAAGATCACTACAATGTTTTCAGTAACTTCTAGGACTGCCGAATCTAAATTTAGAAAACCAGGAGTTCATCGAAAAAAAACAGGGATTGGCCACGAGATCCTTGTTTGAAACCAGGAGAATAAACCAGGAGACTTTTAATTAAAATTAAAAAAGTTTTATTTGGTTTTTTTTGAAAGAAATTGAATTTTTCTTCTATATAAAAGATAAAAGTTTTCTCCTAATAAGTTATTGTGGCACATTTTTCTATGTAATACAATATATGGAAAAAAATAATGATAAGTATGTCTCATTTCATCGTTTATTTCGAAATGAAGCACAAAGTGTAAAATTATTTTTAATGGACTAGATTCAGCTTACGGCATGACATTTTCTTTCGATGAATTCGTTATTTCAATGATTTCAGCATCTTCCAACGAAGACATTTTGAGGAATGGTTTTAAGGTATTCTCTCCTTTTATCTACAATACATAAGTTTTTGCAGCATAAATCATTTGCAAGAATTAAATTATTTTTTAGTTTTATTACATAA